AGAATTAAAAAACATCAGCCCCTCCAAATTCAAAGACCCAATCCAAAAGTGGGCAGCTCAGATGAATACACACTTCTCAGATAAAGAAATACAAATGGCAAATAAATACAGGAGAAAATGTTCAACATCATTAGTCATTCAAAAACTGCAAATTAAAACAACATTGAGATTTCATCTCACCCCAGTAAGAATGGCTATCGTTAAGAAATTAACCAATAACAAATGCTGGGGAGGTTGTGGAGAAATAGGAACTCTTTTCCACTGCTGGTGGGAATGCAGACTGGTGAAATCTATTTGTGGAAATCAGTTTGGAGATTCCTCAGCAAATGAGGTCTAGAGGTCCCATTCAAATTCCAGTTCTGGATATTTTTCCAGAAGATCTAAAAACATCATATCACAGCAATATGTGCACCCATGTTCGTAGCAGCGCAATTTGTAATTGTTAAATTGTGGAAGCAACCCAAATGTCCATCCACTGAGGATTGGATAAAAAAACTGTGGTACTTTTATATAATGGAATATTACTCAGCTATAAAGATAAATTAGAGGCTTTTATAGGTAAATGGTCACAACTAGAGATCATACTCATAAGTGAAATAAATCAGTCCTGCATGTGTAAGCAACATATTGTCTCACTAGTGTAAAACCTGAAAAAGTGAATAAAAACTAGGAGATATGATAGACATTGTGAAATGAAAGGAAAATGCTCAAAAGTAAAAGGCAACTGGGATATGGGAAAAGAGAAGGGAAAGAAGGGGAAATTATGTAAGTATGTAAATACAGGATAGCTAACATAGTTGTACTACTGTTTTCTATTGCTCTACAGAAAGGAACAGTTAATGATTACTTGTTTGATCAATCTTGTATGTCTCTGTTTTCATGAGAAACCACTTTGAAGATATCAATACATAATACAACAACCATTGTTAATTTCCGAACACTTTGTCTGTAACCATTTGATTTGTATTGTTCTTACGCTGTTTTGTAAATGGATGTCTGTTTGTTAATATGTTTTCCTTCTTTTATTTCTTAAAAATAAAGAAAAGAAAGCAATGCAATGTGAACCGCTTGGGAAACAAATAGTATTCAGCTTGCTTTTTTTGCACTCAGATGTAGATATTCACCCTCATCAAGGAGGAAGACACGAGTGGCAAAAGTTTCAGAAAGAGTGGGGAGCCACAGGTGTGTTCCCACCCTGGACAGTGAAGTCAGCTTCCACAAAGGATTCTGGTGTTTTGGGAGAAACAGTTCCTGAAGCAAAATTCCTAAAATCTTGCCTTACGCTCACTTCAGCATACTCCTAATCCTAAATCTTCCTCTGCCTTGTGGGAATCCAGCCCATTTTCTAGGTTTCGGATAATCTTTATATAGTAGAATCATTCCCATTCAAGAAAGCCCTGGCTGGTAACCCCATCACTCCCACTGCTGTACCATTCACAGCTGAATCGTGATGAACTGTACTGCTTTATAATTCAGCAAAGTATTATTTTCTGCTTTTATAAAAAGCTGGACCAAGGTTGAGAGAGAGTTGTGTGTGTCAGTTTATTATATGATGAGTAATGTTAAATAAAATAAGAAAGGTAGCACAGAAGGTCAGACATTTGAAAGGGTTCATCACCTTACAAAATAATATGGAAAACAAGACAAGAAAATTGAGTTTCAGAAGCCCTGTATCATTTTTATTGTTTCCGCTTTGTTATGTTTTTGTCTATGTTGTTATTTTGCTATTGTTTTGTTTATTCTCTTTAAAAAAAAGAAAACTGAGTTTCTGCAATTCACTTGGAATAGTGGCAAAACTTAACATCTGAAACAGAACCCATAGTAAGGAAATATAGTGTGGTTTATTATATTTTTCAGCAAAGGGGGAGAAAATATGGAAACAATATTTGGTTTACAGTCTCAAGTAATAAATAGGACAATACATATTTCTCCCATCTCCAACTTAATCTAGCCTTTGTTCTTCCTCTAACCAAGCAATTTGGTAAACAAAAGACTCTTAGCTCACCAGATTCAGATCTTTAAATAAAACACGTAAATGTCACAAACATCATATAGCACAGATTTGGGGAGTTCTCAAAGGTACAACTCTAGAGCTAGTCTCTCCCACACCATCCTTATAGTACAGATTTGGAATTATTTTCCCAGTGATCTTCAAGTTTCTATTACATAGAAAATGTTCAGCTCTTTTGGAGATTCTAATTGTCTTTGGAGCCTTCTTTTGTCAGCAATCATGTTCCATACCCCTGTCAGTCAGAGTATCTGCATAAAACTCCTCCCAGCTGCTGTTATGACCCTCTACAATCTTACTCCTTAGAAATCAAGTGGAAAATGAATAGCAGTAGCAGATCCTAATGATCTCTAACAGCCAAGACAAAAGAATATTTCAGAAGAAAGAAAACAGGTCATTAACAAAGTTGGGAAATTGGTGAGGAACGTGGAAGAAAAAATGTCTTTTATTATTTGCTAGGTTCACAGCCTCTAATTCTTCATGCCCCTAGTCAGACATTAACTTAATTATAAAACAAAATCTATAGCCACAGTCCAAGCCTGGGGGTAGAGTCTGTGCTACTAATCAACTTTAATTCCCTGGGCCCAATTTAATTACTAAACAACATTTGGTGCAGCTGCTAAACACTTACCAGGTTACCGCATGATAACACTGCAGTAATATTTACAGTTCTCTAGGTTTTACTTTCATTCATTCTGTCTGCACAGTAGTAGCTCAATCACATAAAAACTTGAGCCCATTCTGATATTTACACTAAAAGACAAGTTTTAACAATTTTATACATCTATGTAGTTGAGCCAGTTAAGTATTAAATTTCATTTCAACTAATTTACGTTAGGAGATATAGTTCATGACGGATGAGTTATTTTAGGACAGGATAATCATAAACTGAATTATCATCTGTGTACTTCTTACCTTTCTAAGATTCTTATGTGTGAGACAAAGTAAACCCAGCTTATGTGTTTCATGTTATCAATTTGATATTTAGCTTATAACAAATACTACTTCCAAGACACTGGACATATGTAACTCATAGTTTTTCTTATTTTTTCGTGTTTCATGACACAAAGATATATTTGTGCTACAAATAATTTTCACTTGACAAAATTAAAATTAACTACTGCCATTTTGTAAATAGCTGGCTTTGCTAATCTACATAAAATATATTCAATCGGCCCAAATATCTGGCAAGATGATGGCCCTCAGGGACCTAGATCTGACTTGTTGGAAAACACTGAGGTAGATGTTTCACATACTACTGACATTCTGTTTTAGCTTTTTTGCTTAACTCAGATATAGCTTTGCAATTCCTGGGACTCAGATTTTCCCTAGATCTTTAGAAGGACAAGAAACATTGTGTGAGTTGAGGAAAACATTAAGATGCAGTATCAATAAGGGAGCCCAATGTGACCTTTAGTGTTCATTCAGCAATTCAGAACATAATAGAGAATGCCGCTCGATCCAAATTAGGACTTGGTGTGTGAGTGGAATGGAAACTAAAATTTCTTTTTAAAAAAATTTTTGAAGTATTTGAGATAGAATCCACTGAGCTACATCTCCAGCCCTTTTTGTTTTATATTTTTATTTTGAGAGAGGGTCTCAATAAGTTGCTAAGTTGCCCAGATTGGGCCAGAATTTGTGATCTTCCTGCCTCAGCATACGAGAGTACTGGGATTAAGGTGTGTGTCCTCAGACGCAATAGATATTGCTTTCTTTGTTTTCTCTTCCTGTGTGCTAGTCTTTGAATGTTACTTTCCTCCCCGTTTTTTTGTTTGTTTAGATTAAAACAGAAAAGGTAAAAGGGAAGATGCGCCAGAGCTAATTATACCTTCAAACAAAGAAGATTACACTAAACTCATCCTAGGAGATCTGGAGCGAAAGTCTTTGAATTTCAACTTCACACACCGGTTCAGATATTACCTAACACCATTCTGCATGACTCGTGTACGCCCTGGACAAAGGAGATGCTGTATGTTTCAAAGTCAAAAGGCTAATTTCTCAGCAGCACTAGTGTCTGCCAGTCTCCCGCCCCAGAGAACATCTTTCTTTCCTACTGAACAGTGACTGAGTCACAAGAGGGACTGATTCTGCTTGCTGGAAGAAAATAGGATGGGAGGATTTATGACATTACCAGATGTTCCAGTAGCCCTGAGGGGGCACCAGGATGGTTCCGCATATGCTGTAAACAGCATAAACTGTCAAACCATGAGACCCTGGGGTTTAGTGCTCATACTTCTCTGATGTGCAGAGTTGTAGGATTTGAGAGTTAGAAGGACCCTAAAACGAACTTGTCCAGAGATTTTAAGCTGCACGTGCATGTGTGTGCGTGGGGTGGGGTGGGGTTGGGAGTGGGATTCCTGTGGTCCTTAAATGTGACTCAGGGATTGCTAAGGATGAGGGATTCTCTCCCAGATAGTAGCAGCACCCTTGGGAAGAATGTAAAAGTCTTATGTCAGGGATAGATAACCATGGAATACTGTGTCGCACAAAAGTAGTGATAAAATACTGAATAGTTACTGTGGTTGGGGGAAGAACCAACACCTATTAGTCCTCTGTATTTACTCTTCATTTCCTGGGGTAAACAAGACAGTATTGCTTAGAACACTGGCACATTTCCTTGTTGTTTTTACTACACCCTTGCCTGAGAATGGTTTCACTCTTACTCTACACTGTCTTTCTGTTTTCAAATTTAAAGGCAACCTGTGACTGTTCATGGGAATTCTCCAATGCCACCATGTGACAGATGGAAGGAGGGAGCGAGGGAAGTCAGAGGGGAGAGGGAAGAGAGGGAAAGAGAGAGAGAGATAGAGGTAGAGATAGAGATAGAGATGATATAGAGAGAGATAGAGTTAGAGATAGAGATAGAGATGATAGAGATAGAGATAGATTCATAAATAGAACCAAGTATGAGAGAAAAAATTAACATAAATTAAAGTCGCATCTGCAAGGTTAAATACATTGCATAAAAGCATGGCAGATGCACCTGTCTTACCATCACTGTTGATGCAAAAGGCCTCTTGAACTTGTGTGCCTGGACCACACTCCTTCCCATTATCAGGCTCGCAGTCTCCAAGCCTCACCGCCTTCCAGTCATAGCAGGACGGCTCTTCACAGGGAATGGCTTCCAGTAAGTGAGGGCAGTTTCCAGTCCCCCCGGAGCCTCCCGTGGGCTCGTTGGTGATACGCCGCTTCCTCAGTTTGAAGCCTGAGTCATGGGGAAAGAAAGCATTTCCTGTCAACAGCATATTTCAGAAAGCTGCGTGAAACCTGGGATGAGGGCAGAGGGCAGGAAAGTCATTTCTGATTTGAATCACTAGGGTATAGATTCTTAAATTGAAGCTTAACTTGAGCTTGCGAACCATTCATCCAATGAATAAGTGAATGAACACAGAAAAGAGGGTGTTTTGGTATTAGCTTTCTACAGAAAAAAAAAGTCACAGCTCTCATGTCCTGAATAGGGCTTAGGGAAGGGAAGAGGAGATAGAAAGAGAGATGGAGCACGTGACACAGTTGGAGATGATAAAGACAGAAAATATAAAGAATCTTCAAGGAATGAAATCTCAAACTATTCAGAAATAGGATCACAGGGACGAAAGTGCTTGATTTCTAATTTTTTAGCACTGTTCCATGACTGACCCAGAAAAGGAAGCTCTGAGATATTGGATGGTTCCCAGAAACGGTCTTTTTGAGGCTATGTTGAATTTGGGCTCTCTAGAAATATGAATTCAGAACCTCAGGCATCTGGGCTCAGTGTGGGCCATTCAGAGTTCTGCTACACACTTTTCATAATGCCTGAGTACTGTCTTTCTGACAAGGTAAAACGGAATTAATAAATGTGTCTATGCTGCATGAACATATTAGAATTATTAGAGGCTGTCCTTTGGCACAAAATGGAAACATAAAATTAAGAGATGATGTAAGTCTAGCTCCCCATGCCCACCGTGAAACAAACCATTTTATTTAGTCCACCTCTTTTAGATATATCATTTGTATCATGAAAGTAACACAATTTTGAAAAATATTTTCACCTTCAAAGCAACAAAGAGGTGTGATTATTAGCAGTGGCAGTAGGTCAGGCCCTGAATTATTTATGTTTATTGCCTCATTGATTATGGAAAGACAATCTTCGTGGCAAATATTATTACATCCCTTTTACAGATAACAGTAAATAACTTAAGGAGCGAAGTAGAGTTTCCAGTCCATATCAGTCTGACACCACATCTCGCCCTAATCACTTGCACCGAAGAGCAACAAATCCTCTCTATCATGTTATCTACATAATCAAGCATCTTGCCTGTGTGCCTCCATTTTAATCTTTTGCTAACATCACCAGGATAGGTTGATGCATTTTTTGAAATCTATATTCCTCAGTCATTCTGGAAAATGTTACCAATAATCACAAGAAACACAGAAAAGCACTTTTAGAATTCATGATCTGACTCAATCTATAGATATTTCAAATATGGAGTATTACCGTTACATACCTTTTTTGCCCTGCTGGTCACTGCAATTTTCATAAGTGCAAGGTCCCCAAGCTGACCATGGTGAAACCTCACATTCGATTGGACAGGGAATGTGGCAGAGCTGCATAGTGTTAGGTATAGGGCCAAGGCATAATTTGGAGTCCACTGGTTTTGAGGCTGTTTGGAGAAAAATACAGGCATTTCTTAAGAATTACAAGTAAATGTTGTGGTCAATAATATAATGTTTGTGAGGATGGAGAAGAAAACTGTTTAAGATGTTCCATCAAAACATTTTCCAACACTTCGCAGCCACATCCTGAGACTAAAAAGAGGAAGTATGAGGAAGGAAGGACACAATATAGTATAGTCAAAGAAAACTGAACTTGCAAATTGCTTATCAGCTTTCTCACTGATGACGTATGCTATTAATAATGCCAAATATAACTTTCCTAGTCAGAAAAATAATCCTTAAGGTGAACTCTAAAATTTTGTAACTAGATGCTGAAAAAGTAGAATCTAATTTAGAGGACTGAGTACAGCAGGAAGACGTGACAGACAAAATGGTCAATTTGATTGGCCTGAGAGCCTCTTAGAGGACTGGGAGAGCACACTTCTGGGTGTATTTGGGCAGGTCAAAGAACTGTCACTTTGTAGACTATATCTGTCCCTGGCCCCTTTCTTTCTGGTGCTGTTACCCACTTCTGCTTTCCAGCCACCATGAACTAAGCTTCATTGCTGCACTACACCCTTCTGATACGATGTTCTTGCCTTGGAGTCAGCCTACCATGGACTATACCCTCTGAAACCGTGCACCAAATTATTTCTCCTTTAAATTTTCAGGTACTGTGTCCCAGTGATGAAAAGTAGAGTAACACAGAGGGGCAACATGGCTTTGATATACATAGAAAAAATGTCCACTGTGTTGTTTTGGGGGGTGTGAACTCCTGTCCCTGTGGTCTACAAGTCTAAATGTACCACATGGATATGAGAAAGAGGAGCAGCTCTTTCTACTTCTAGCTTCATGACTCACCCAGTGTGTTCCCAAAATTTTGCAAAATATAACATCTACATATGTGACCCAAATCTAAACCACTAGGGAGACTAATTTATAATTATCTCTATACTTTTAAATTGACCAATGAACTGTGGGTAAATGTTTGTCCCTGATTCTCTTCTTTTCTACTTTGATGTCTGAAGTTTAACTCCTTGGTACATACATATATTTGACAGGTAATGCCAAGATATATCCACAGTTCTGGACACAAAACTGGTTAAAATGATCAAGAGAGGAAGATATTTAAAAGTAAATGGACAGCAGAAGACAATTTGTTATATATTATTTGGTTAGCTCACCAGCTATCTTATAATATAGTTATTTCTCTCATAAGAAAATTTGACAAGTATATATATCTCAGTCAGTTATTTGCTGTCATAAAAGTTAGTTCCTATTTCACTCTGAGAGTCTGGTGAGCACATGCTTGCAGAATAAAAGACTTCAAGGCTTAGTTATTTCTTATTCTCTTTACATGAGAGCACAATTGAATTCTAATGGTAAGCGATTGCATCTGTATGTGTATAGAGAAATTAACATATTTAAACTAGATATCTCCAGTAAAAGTACAAAATACCTGCAATCCAAAGGAGATTGTAATTACTTATATACCCCCTGGGTATCTGTGCACACAAGGACACACAGTCAAGGGTATTATACTGAGTCCTCATCCTGACGTAGTTTTTGTTTTGGAAAATAAGCTGCAGATTTTCTTTTCCTTTTTTTTCCCTAGTGGTGCTTATGTCCTTAATCCTTACTCTGCAGTGAAAATAAACGATGGGGCACCTCTAATTTATTTAGTGTGGAGAACAGTGAGTATTTTCACTCAAGTTTAAAAGGATTATTGCTATGTGCATCGTAAGATCAGGCAAAGCCTGAAATGATTAACTGTATTCCTTTCTAACAGTGAGAGTACTTGGCACACCAATGACAGAAAATACAGAAAAAATATTTCACCTTTTCCGAATATGAAAAAAACCCTTGACATCAATGATATGTCATTCACATGAAAGTGACTTATTGTAAAGACTCTTACAGGCAGAAGAATCTCTAATATGTAGCAAAATCAGTTGAAATAAACCTAACTACTTTCACTTGTGGAATCCTTTAGACTGTCACTTAAAGTAGAAGATTTGTGTAGTGGTGACATAAAAAGTCTTCATTATTTTTCTTCAGTTGGTTAAAAGTCACTTTAACCCATGATGCTCTTACATTATTTTTGGAAATAACAGTTTCTATAAGGTCAAATCTGGGCCTGCAATTTTGGACACTATGAGTCTGAAGAAATTTATATTCTATATAAACCTAAATACCTTTATTAAGGAAACAAGTCAAAACTGTGTTTCTGTTTCCTGGCTATTTTATTTGCAAGGTTAACTTTGCTTTTGATTTTGAATGTATCATATAGACTAATCAGTCACAAAATTTTCTTTAGCTACTAGGAGCAAAACGTAATGCATGAGGATCCAGAAAATATTTCTAAAGCAAAGTAATCACGAGTGTTGCTCTGCTGCTGAGCCAAACCTAAGAAAATATAATTCTTGACAACTGACTTTTATTTTATTGATGTCCATGTTAGATATCTATCTATCCACCCATCTATCTCTCTATCAGTTATCTCTTTTTTTTTTTTTTTAAAAACAGAAGGAGGGAATACTGCTGTATACTTCTTATTTCTCTGTGGATTTTCATTATAGATTTTATTGTAAATGGAGTATATATTGATTAACGTAAATCTCAGATACTAGATGAGTTCAGCCTCCCAAGTGCTGGGATTACAGGCGTGCACCACTGTGCCTGGCTAGTTCAGACCGTTTAACACAGTATAGCTTTCAAAGAATATATATATATATATATAATTTTTTTAAAAGGAGACATTTATTTTATTATTGTCTCATTTCAAGGGAATTCAGTAAATGTATCTTGCATACTGCCTGAGGCCACAATGTCTAAAATTCTGGGGTTACCAAAACAAACAAAAAATATGAGACTGGCACATTGTTTTGGGTCTGAAATATTTTTGTACTTTGAATGATTGGAGCATTTTAATTGTATAAAGATCATTAAAGGAAATTAACCTAAAACGTCTGTTTCCAAAAATGTGACCAATGAGGTATTCTGAAAAAAAAAAACCCACAGTGTAACCCTGGAAGAAAGTTCATATGTATTTTAAATTCAATATTTTATTTTAAGATAATTATGGATACATATGAAATGGTAATTTGACAGAGATTCCATATATCCTTTACCCAGTCTTTCCCAGTGGTAAGATGTCACAAACTATGACACAATATCATAGCCAGAATACTGACACTGAGAGGTTTAAGGCACATGTACTCAGATGAATAGTGCCCCTGTAAAACTACCGGAATCTCAGAAAATGATCTTACCTGGAAATAAGGCCTTTGCAAAGGTAGTTACTAACAGCTTTTGATTAAACTGAGCCCTACATCCAGTTACTGGGGTGTTCGGGCACGGTGGTGGACTCCTGTAATCCCAGCACTCGGGAGGCTGAGGCAGAATTGCTGAGAGTTCAAGGCCAGCCTGGAAAAAATAACGAGTCCAGGCCGGCCTAGAGTACTAATGAGACCTTGTCTCAGAAAAAAGTGTCAGGTATCTTATTATAGTAACATAGCTGTGGCCACTGACACATCTTTAGACCTCTGCAACTCAGGCAAGGGTGTCATACTGTTCTTCTCTGTGTTCTGGCTGGAACCGAAGACACGTCCACCTTCTAAGAAGACCAGCTAAAGACAGCAGAGAACACCGCATGAGGACAGAGAGACAGGGAACACCAAGGGCTGCGGGCTGGCTTCCCGGTGCTGTTGAGTACGGAGAGGTTACCTCTTTGTCCTTTCATCTCCCTTTAATCTCTCTCAGCTATATCCCCTATGTATTTTTAGAATCATCTTAAGTCTCAGTGTTATAATTTTTCTTCAACCATCTAACATAATTTAGAAAACATCAGAGGAAAAAAAGTGCGTAGTGTAGTTGCCCATGTTTTTATTTACCTTCTCTTTCTTTTTTCTTTTTATTTAGAGAACTTTCTTTAGTCAACCACTCAGGATAGGTCTCCTGGCAACAAATTCTGTTAGTTTTCCTTCATCTGAGGATATCCATATTTCTCTTTCATTCCTGAAGGACATTTTCTCTAAGTACTGAATTGTACATTGACAGTTCTTCCCCGTTAGCACTAGAAAAATATAGTGCCATGCTATCATGGCTGATAAGATTTCCGGTTCGCCGTCATTCTAGTTGTCTTTTCCTCACAGATGCATGTCATTTTCTTCTGACTGCTTTCAAATATTTTTCTTTATCTTTAGTTTTCATATTTCAATTATGATGTATCTTCACAGGTCATTCTTTAAGTTTCACCTGTTGTATTTCATGCAACTTCTTAAAACTGTATTTCTTCCCAAATTCGGGAAATTTTCAGCCATTCCTTCATCTCTGCTACTCTGTTGCATAGATCTGTGACAATTTACATTGTGTTTCTGCAGCACATTTTCTTTCTGTTGGTCAGATTAGGTAATTCCTTCCCTTCCCTTCCTTCCCTTCCTTCCCTTCCTTCCCTTCCCTTCCCTCTTTTCTCTTCTTCCTTCCCCTCCCCTCCCCTCCCCTCTTTTCTGTTCTCTCTCTTTCTATCCTCCCTCCCTCCCTTGTTTCTTTCTATTTCTTTTAGCTGTGGGGGGAAGGGCATTGAATCCAGCCCTTATGTTTGCTAATCTACTACTGAGCTACAGCCCCCAGCTTAAGTAATTTTCATAACTCTGTATTCTCATTGGTTGTTTCTCTCCTCCGTCCCCTCCGTTATGCTTTTAGGACCATGCACAGCTTTTTAAACTTAAGTTGCTGTTACTTTTTCCAATCTAAAATGTCCACTTAGTACTTCACATCATCAATTCCTTTGTTGAAGTTTTCCACTCATGTATTTTGTTTTAAGCATGCTCATAACTGTTTACCCATTTTTCTCATGGTTCCTTTACAATTTTTGGTTGATAATTCTAACTTCTCTATCACCTCCATGTTGGTGGGCATCTATGTAATTTGAAACCTTCCTGATTGCTGGCATGATGAGTGATTTCAACTGCCATGTGGACAGAGTTTTGGGGTGGCTGGCTTCTTT